CTGTGGGTTAGGTTTCCTTTGTGGGGGCTATGGATTTTGCAATAAGTTGCATTTCTCTCTCTCTCTCTCTCTCTCTCTCTCTCTCTCTCTCTCTCTCACATACACACCCCTCTTTGGGTGCACAGCTCACAGTGTCTCTCCTTTGAGAACTAACTGTATTCAGACTAATTTGGGGAGTGGGGACACTTGGTGCAGCAGATAAGATGTGTCCTAATAGAATCCTAACAGAATCCCAGGTCCTAACAAACAGAATCCCAGGCCCACTTCCAATCCAGCTTCCTGCTAAGATGTACTCTAGGAGTTAGCAGGTGGTGGCTCAAGTCCGTTGGTTCCTACCTCTCATGTAAAAGACTTGGACTGAGTTCTGGACTTCTTACTCTGGAGCCTGGTTCAATCCTGACTCCTGAGGGCTACGAGGGAGTGAACCAGTGGATGAAGGTCTCTGTCTCTGCCTTAAAGCCAAGCCATCAATATAAAAAATAAACAAAAAGGCCAGACAGGAATTTCTACTTTGGTCCCCTTGAAAAACATACTCCACTGGGTAATGACAGACAGCTGGGAAAGGAAACTCCCTATCTCCACCTCACACACTTCTACTGCTCTCTGTTCTCTGGACTCAGCCCCTCTTACACAACCAGGGACGCTCAGTCTATATCTCTAAACCCCAGTTTTTCACTCATAATTGGGAGTAGTAGTAGTCCCTACTTTGTAGATTTGAATGAAGATTAATAAGGGTGGTTGCTGTGGTGTAGAAGGCTTAGCTGCTGCTTGTAGCTGCTTTCTGAGTTACGGTGCTGGGGTGCGTGAATAGGCCTGCCTCTGCTTCCTGCTAATGTTCACCCTGGAGGGCAGGAGATGATGACTCAAGTACTTGGATTGCTGAACCTGCGTGGGAGCTCCACATGGAATTCCTGGCTCCTGGCTTCAACCTGCACCAGCCCTTGCTGATGTGGGCATCGGAGCAGTGAGCCAGTGCAATGATGATTTCTATCTTTTTCCACCTCTCAAATAAATACCAAATAAATCAGAACTTTGCGAAATCAGGTTCATGGTAGTTCCTGCTACATAGAACTATTCTTTACAGGGTTTCTATGAGTGTGAAAATGATGAATGAGGCAAGTCTTTCGACCATGACTTGCGTCCATAATAAAAAGAAAAAAAAACTTAAACAAGGATAGAATATTATCCACTCTATCTTCTCATGAGAGAGAGAATCATAGAATACAAAAAAGCTAAGAAAAATAAAACCAGAAAAGAGAACAGAAGGTGATAGAAGGTGATCAGAGGGATTTATTTTATAGACCACTCCAGGAAGCCCCTGCTAAGCAGAGAGAATATCCAGAATGCAAACTTCAGCATCTGAGACTGGCCAAAAGTCAAAAGTCTGAGAACCTCAAGTGCTGGTGAGGTCCAGGAGCAAGTGAACTTGGCGGGAGTGTCAAGGGGAAAAGCGCATTTGGAATCTGGTTTGCACTGCAAATGCAATCACCTTCAGAGGCAATAATTACATTGCTAAGCACAAGGACCCCCAACCCCCGCACGTGTGCACCAGCCTATGTGACCAAGAATCTTCATATCACACCACGCCAGGCCTGACAATGACCCAACATCTCTCTTTTTAAATTTTTATTTATTTTTATTGGAAAGGTGTTGCTGTCCTACAGTGATGGACTTGGTGCATGGAGCCAATAATAACATGCACAACGCCTGTGGACTCTGACTGATGGTCAAAGCTGAAGTTTATCAGTGGCATCAGACTTTATACACTGAGGGTCATATGGGATAAGGGAGGAGGGACTAAGCTTACCAACAAACCCATCAACTGTTTCTATACTTTTGTTTAGAACTCCTTTTGTTTTGTTTGTTCTACCAAGTGTTCTCATTCACATGCTGTCCACTCAACTGTTCTCATACAAATGATATCCATTTAGTTACAGAATGGTACACACTCAGTTGTTCTGATACAAAATGTTGTCCAATCAGTTATACAAAAGGTACCCATTCAGTTGTTCTCATACAAAGGATATCCGATCAGTTGTAATCCTGTGCTTGCTGACCTTCTAGGGTCACAATGTCCTCATACAGAAAAGAATATCCACAGAAAGAAGGAGAGACAGCGAGAAAGTTCTTTCATCTGCTAGTTTACTCCTCTAGTAGCTGTAATGGCCAGAGCCAAGCTGTTCCGAAGCCATGAGCCAGGAGCTTCCTCTGGGTTCCCCATGTGGATGCAGGGTCCCAAGGCTTTGGGTCATCCTCTACTGCTTTCCTAGGCCATATGCAGGGAGTTGAATCACAAGTGGAGCAGCCAGGACACAAACCTGCACCCATGTGGGATCTAGCACTTGCAATGTGAGGATTTAGCCACTGAGTCATCATGCCAGGCATAACTCAATGTCTCTTAGTAGCAGGCAGGCAAATCATCATAAATTGCAATATCAACATAAGAAGATGAAAGAAAAAAGAATGAACTATTTCTATAAACATCAAATGGAAGACTTGTCACAGAGCTGATGTTGTTTAAAAGAAGCAAGGGGATGTTGGATACTTTGTTTCTTTGACAATAGTCTGGGCGAATTTGAACTAAACCAGCTGTATTTTAACGCCATTTCCCACAAACACTTGAAGCGTCGTGGTACATAATGGCCACTGTTTGAAGTACTGATGGCACAGGATTAAATGAGATGGCTCGGGCCCCAGCCTTCAGGCTCTTAACATCTTAGTGGCAAGTCAGGAAAGTCACCAACAGGAGAGGAACATGCCAGGGAAAGGCTGGCAGGTAGCTCAGGACTCTCGGCTGACCCAGGCCGAGGGGCTCAGGACAGCCCTGAGGAGAAGGAGTCAGCAAGAGGGAGGCAATTCTCAGAATAGGGAACCTCAGCTGCAAAGTCAGGAGTGTGTGAGGTGGCAAGAGATGAGGTCCCGGGGAGAGGCAGTTACACAATGCTTCTGGTGACACGTTGTGGAAACAGTAGTAATGCTTGCACAGCAGTGTGCACGGAAGCAGTGCTGGACTATATGATAATGATGGTCCAAATGACAAATTTCAGAAAGAAGGGAAGGTATGATGGCTCAACCAGCTAATCCTGTCTCCAAGTGCCAGGATCCCATATGAGTGTCACTTCATGTCCTGTCTGTCCCACTTCCCATCCAGCTGCCTGCTTGCAGCCTGGGAAAGCAGTAGAAGATGGCCCAAAGCCTTGGGACCCTGTGCCTGTATGTGAGACCAAAGGAAGCTCCTGGTTCCTGGTTTCAGATCGGCTCAATTTTGGCTGTTGTGGCCATTTAGAGAGTGATCCAGCAGACGGAAGATCTTTCTCTCTGTCTCTGTATTCTCTCTGTAAAGTCTGCTTTTCCAATGAAAATAAACAAAGCTTAAAAAATAGAGACAATAAACAAAGAAATTAAAGAAAGTGAAGATAAGGAATACATAGCACTTGATGAGAAAAGGGCTTGGGGCCAAAAAAAAAAAAAAAAAAAAACCGTAGAATTAAATGTCCAAGGGACGGTAGGGTATAAGACCCTGAAAGAACATATCCCTAGGAGGAGGCCACGGGGGACTTGTGGGTGCTGGCCAGGCTCTACTACTTGTGTGAGCATGGGCTGCTTCGTCATAAAGATCAGAGGTTCAATGGAGGGGAGTTGTAGGCTCCACTACTGAGGAGACCTGCGTCATGCAGAGCAGTGTCTAGCATGGAACCCCACCTTTCCCTTACTAAGTGCAGCTTCCTGGTGAAGTACCCGGGAGGCAGCTGGCCATGGCTTAAGGACTGAGGCCCTGCCATGGGGGAAGACCCAGATGGGGGCTCCTGGTTCTCCAGCCATCTGGGGAATGAACCAGTGGATGGAAATCTCTGTATCTCAATCACTGTGTGGTTCTGCTTTTCAAATCAGCGAGTAAAGAATTTTTTTTTAAGATTTCTTAATTTTTAATTGAAAGGCAGATCTCAGGGTGGTTCCTGTCACTTATCATGCTGCCTCACAACCAGACAGGGTGCTTGATGCTGTAACGGGTGTGGCCCTGTAATCTGCTACACTTCAAGGCATCCCTTATATCTTGGGGCTCACTAACCTTTGTGTGGGAGAGTGGCAGCAAGAGTCCCAGCTGTCTTATCTCATGAGTGGTCTTCCAGGGGCCTTTGATGGGAGTTCCCCAGGTTCCCAGTCTCACCCAGGCCTCTTGAGCTGTCCAGCCCTCCCTGCTTCTCCTGCTTCCGTTGGCTCAGCACTGCCTACACCTTGCGCCTACACCTTGCGCCTCAGGAGCACAGGTGCTTCCCAAAGTCACAGACTTTGGTCTTCCTCACTGGGATGCTCAGCAGCCAGAAGAGTGGTGTGCTAACCCTCTGGCAACAGGTCATTCTTGGACAACCCATGGGTGCAGCCCCAACTTTGGTGCTTGATGTCACCCGGCACGTTCATGCTTCTGTCCAACCCCACGGCACATGTACAAGGTGGTACTTTCCCGTCCAGTCCCCAGTGACGTAACCAAAGCAAACACTTAACAAGCAGTATTATTTGGGGATTAAGAACTCAGACTGCCCAGGCGCCAGCTTCACGTACTTGAAATGAGTGTGTCCTTGGGAAAACTAATTGAACCTCCCTCCTGTGGTCAAAGATCCCAAACCCAGGCCACATGTAGACCCGGGAAAGCACCACGCTCTGTGGGGTGACCCTGGGGAGCCCGTATGTTTCCCTACCGTGCGTCCAATGTGCAAATCTGGAAACCACTGGGCTAGTATGATTCTTTTGTGGACACTTCTGGAATCTCCGCTGTTCCCCTCTCCCCTGAGAACCTCAAGCCGCAGCTCCACCAGCCCACATCTCTCCAGATCCCAGCAGCCCCCTGCGCTGCACGCTGGGACTTGTAGTGTCCCTGTGGATGGGTGGGCGGGACTCGTCCTCGCCTCCCGTTGGTTTTCGCTGAAGCCACTCCCAGAGGCTCGACCAATCACCGAGGCGCAGTGGGTTCTAGACGCCGCAATCACAGCGGGGCGGACGTCAGCGGCGGCGAGCTTGCGGCTGCGCGCTGGCCGCAGTTCCCACGGTGCTGCCACGGCCTGGAACGCCGGCATCTCGCGGGGCGCAGCAGGTAACCGCGGGCCGGGCGGGATGCTCGGGGCCGGCTGTCTGAGCTGGGGTTTAACGTTCCCTCAGAGACTTTCTGAGTGCCCCGCGGTCGGGGGTGGGAAGGTTTGGATTTCGGGAAACGATGAAACCCCAGGGAAACCCTGCTACCTCAGCCCGACCTCCCGTCGGCGGCGGTGGCCGAGGAGGGCTCCAGAAAGAAACGGAGGCACCTGCGGCTACGGGGTGTGCGGTCCGAGATGTGCCGGATCGTGAAGGGTTGAGGGAACGGGCTGTGGACCACAACCACAGAAATACTCCCTGCTGAAATACCCGGAATATCCCTGCGCGCCTGGGCGGAGCCGGGCTTCCCGGAGCCGGCGAGTTTCGAGACCACCCGCAGTCGCCGAAGTGAAACTCGGCCGGGAGTGGCCGCCGCCTGGCCCCCTCGCTGATCCCGTGCCCAGCGTGGTGGAATCTGGAACTGTGGGTCACGTGCTGCCAGTGCCGAGGGGGGAAAGGAGTGCCCGGGGCTTGGGACTGGCCAGTCTGCTGCTGCTGCTGGTGGCCTTCGACCCCGGGACTGCGCGTCCGAAGGCTTGATAAGCTTTCTGAGTGTGGCCGGTTTCTGGGAGACGGTTCGAGTGTGCGAGGGGCAGGAGCACAGGTGTGTCCAAGGAGAGCATGCAGCCCTGCCTTGTGGGAGACGGCAGGGCTTGGCAGAGAAAGGAGAGGGTGGAGGGATGGGCAGGAGCTACTGAGGTGAGGAGGGGGAGAGCTGTGTTGGAAACATGGCATAGTGGGGGTTCGGACGTGGCTTGGCGTCGGGGTCACGGATCAAGGTGTGTGCTGTAGTGACTTCTGTGCTCATGTGGGAGAAAGCTGCATCTCGTGTGGTCTGTGTCTCGTCTAGTCTGTCCCAGCGTGGGGGTGCCACACTGTACATACAGGGAGGGTGTGCTAGGACTCCCCGGGAGGGTTTTGGAGGGAAAGGGGAGGAAGTTTATAACACCCCGCGCATCATGTGATTCCGTAAAGATAATCACGTACTGAACGACTGAGATGCACTAAGAGTTTCTTTTGTAAAGAGTTGTTTCTTTAAAAGGCAGAGTGAAAGAGAGGAGGAAAGGCGGGGAGGTTGATACTCCATCTACAAGTTCAATCCCCCAGCGGCACCCCACAGCGACTGGGGCTGGGCCTGGCTGAAGGCAGTGAAGGCAGAGGCCTGGAACTCCGTCTGGGTTTGCAGCAGGCGTGGCCGCTCACTGGGGGAGGCCTCCCTGCAATCGATGGTAGATAGATAGATAGATAGATAGATGATAGATTTTATTTTGGTTCCAGCAATATTTTCTGATTCATGCATATTTTCATAATATGTGTTTTCTCATAAACTTTTTGAAGAATGTTAACCAATACCGCAGTAACTTGTTATCATGATGAAGTATCAAGCACTCTTGTAGCTGTGCTGTATCGTATGATTGGCAGTGCAGAAGGGTGTTCTGGCCTCGCCCCAAGCAGGTGAGTAATGCCTGTGCTAGGATGCTCTGATGTCGTGCAGTGGTTGGAATGTCTCTGATCTTACAGGTCAACACTGAGCAAGATGCTTGTGCAGCGCGCACCTGTGTGTTAAAGTGAACCGTCTCTGCTTTGAGTTGTCTGATGTATGGGCGTCTTTTGAAGAAATGTCCAGGATTCCCCCTCTTTTTTTCCCCTTTGAGCTACAGACGTTGGTTTGGACGGGAGCCCCAGTTTATGATGGGGAAGTTGTCACATGGATGGAGGGTATTGGATTAGATAGGCAGCTGATATGACTCAGCTTTCTTGTGATCCAGGGAAATGTTCACTGTGACCATGATTGCGTTGGTTTATATGCATCCGATTAGTTTAAAGCTATCGGGTGAGAGGTGTGTGGGGCAAATGAGATTATCCGTTACTGATGTATGTATACCCCTAAAAGATGTGGCCACCAACAAGTAGGGATCGCTTAAATGGAAACTGCTTAAATGTCTTAGTAAGGGAGTGATAATAGAGCAGATATGTATTTAGAAGCACAATAAATTAGAAGTACATGCTATTTTAGGATAGTGGTAACCTTGTGATTTGCAAAGTGAATGGGATCCTATGTGTAATACTTCATGGGGAAAAAGACTTAACAGATTTAAAAAATAGTTGTGTAAAGAGTGACTCAAACTGTGACCCCCAAGACTGACCCCACCATGCTGGACTCAGTGCCACCTTGAACCAGGGCTCAGCGAAAACAACCAGAGGGTTTGAGAACTGAAGCAGCCCTTAATAATTTAGGACCATCCTCTTATCTCACAGGCGGGCAGTTTTCCCTGAACTAAATAGTTGTGTCTTAAGAACAGAGAGGCAGACTTTTTTGTGGTTACTGCAGTAGAGGAGAGAATGCCATATAGAACTCAGCTCAATCTCCTAGTGGAGCAGGGCCTCAGGGAATACATAGCCCATGGACAAGGAGCCGGGGTCAGTGGGGTTCCTGTGCCAAGGTGCCATATGTTTGGGTTCTATCTATTGCTTGGCTCAGGAACACTTCATCAAGAAAGGAGTTCAGGGGAGCCTGACCAATGTTTGGTCAAGGAGGCAGCAGCCCTTGTCACTGTCCTTGTTCCTCTGGCTTGCTGTTTGCTAGACGCCACGTGTCCTATGATTTCGTTCTAAGCCCCAGAGAGCCGAGAGGAGCAGCACCTTCAGGCTTTGCAGGTGCTGCTGTGTAAGTTAGCTGCTCTGCGTTGCCATGGTGGCTTCCTGTGGTCCGCCCCAGAGCTGGTAATGAAGTGAGCTGACAGACAGAGGTCATGTTGGAGGGTGGGTGAGGTGTCAGACCTGGGTTTGAACTTGACCATGCTGCTCACATGGTTTTGTGATTGGACCTTGGCCTTTTTGCTTCTGTTGCTGCTGACAATTTATCTAGTATGGTCACCGCTTTCTAAACCTGCTAAACGTTTTAAACCTCACCTGCTGGTTCATTTCTTGAAGTCAAGTGGGTGACTTACTGGTAAGAAGTACAACCGATTTCCTGAGCTGGGTCACAGTGGGAACATGAAGATTGTCGTTGGAGACTGGGGAGATTTGCCACCGCTTCTCCATTGATTGCTGTTATGGGCAGACAAAAGTCTTCATATACAAAGCTTATTGCTGCCTCAAGAGAGCAGAGTAGGAGGAGTACCTGTGCGCCCTGTGCTGGAGGAAGCGTTGATCTGCTCTGTGGTTGCCGCCTGGTCTGGGAAACACGGGGCCTGTGGTTACAGAACCTGCTACACCTTCTCAGAAGCAGTTTTTTTTTTAATTAGTTTGTTTGAAAGGCAGATTTCTATTTATTTGACAGGTATGGGAGAGGGAGGATCTATTAATTCATTTCCCTCTAATACCTACAAAATCTAGGGGCTGGGCTAGGCTGAGCTAGGCTGAAGCCAGGAGCTAAGAACCCGGCCCGGGTCTTTGGTGCTGCCGCCCACTGTGAGCATTAGTGGAGCGGGGACTCGAACTGTGCACTCCAATGTGCACAGTTAGCTGCTGTGCCAAATGCCCATCCCCTGGTCAGTCATTTGATTCTAACATTTTATTTGCTCTCCCCTGACCCTAAATAGAAGGAGAAAGTCATGCCCCAGTGCTCTCAGAACAATGAGTCTTTTGGGGTCTCAGATGCTTGAGGTGAATTCAGTAAAGACAGGCATGCAAATCAGAAGCCTACTGACTGATGCTGAAAGGTTAGGAAACCAGCCAGGCGGTACCTGTGGTGTGAGTGTGGCACATTGAGTCTGTGGACCAGGCAGAGCACTTGTCTGCAGGCAGGGAATCACTGGAATGTAGCCCCATCCACCTGGTGCCCAGCTGTTCTGGACATGCAGTGGCATGCCTGTGATAGTTCTGATCGTTTTTTCTCTTTCAGATCTCTGCCGTTGAAGTCCGAAGTGCAGAATGATGTGGAAGGTGGCTACGTTCCTCGCTGTGGTCCTGGGAACTTCTGCCATTCCCATTGACGTGAATGATCCCGAGGATGGTGGCAAGCACTGGGTGGTGATTGTCGCGGGCTCCAATGGCTGGTACAACTACAGACACCAGGTGAGAGCACAGCACCCTGCGTGAAAACTACTCACACACTTGTTAGACTGCAGCACATGTGCAGGTGAGGATATGGACAGACCACACCCACATCCTGTGCGGGGAGATTTGACAATGGTACGGGTGTACTGGAGACCAGTTGTAGGATCACTGTAGTTTGGTGCAAGGCTCTGCCAATGCTTGAGCCTGGTAATTCTTGAATGTGGAGGCTGTCCCATGCATGGCCGGATAGTGAGGAGTGCCTTTGGTGTGTACCCTGCAGGTAACAGCAGCGCCACCTATTACACTGTCACAACCCAAATGTCCGCAGATGGTGCTAGAGGCTCCCTGGTCTGGACCCGCTGGGCTAACACCATCATCTGACAGAGAAGGATATTGAGGAGGGGACTTTTCAAGGCCACAAGGCCAGCCGAGGCCAGCAGGGACTGAAGGTTGGGGCTCTGCGGAAGACACCATGCCCAGCTGCTCTCCTCACACCTCCACCTCCTTTCCTGGCTTTGCCAACCACCTCTACCTATTGGGAATTGGAGAGAAAAGAATCCATGTCTGAGCATGCAGTGGAGGTCCAGCCTCCTGGTGGGAATGCACGGTGCCACAGCTGTTTGGGAGCCACTGTGGTGCTTCCTGGGAAGGTTAGCCCTGGAGCAGCTTGAGACATGGCAGTTTCACCCCTGGGAGCAGCAAAAATGCCTGAGCACACAGAAGCTTGACAGCAGCCTTCATCTCTTTTTCTTTTTTAAAGATTTGCTTATTTTTATAATAGAAAAGGCAGATCAGATTTATGTAGAGAAGCAAAAACATAAAGATCTTCCATTCACGGATTCATTCCCCAGTTGGTCACAATGACTGAAGCTAAGCCAATCTGAAGCCAGGAGCCAAGAGCTTTGTTCTAGTCTCCCTTGCAGGTGCAGGGTCCCAAGGCTTTGGGCTGTCTTCAACTGCTTCCCTGGCCACAAGCAGGGAGCTGCATGGGAAGTGGAGCTGCCAGGACATGAACTGGTACCTATATGAGATCCCAGCGTATGCAAGGTGAGGATTTAGCCAGTTGAGCCATTGCACTGGGCCCACAGCAATTTTCATGGCAACCCCAAGGTGCAAATGACCCAACATCTGTTAGTTGATGAGCAGATAAACCCAAAGCAATGTTTTTTTTTTCCCTTAAAGATTTGTTTATTTATTTGATACTTAGAATTACAGGGAAGTCCTCTATCCCCAGATGGCCACAATGACCAGGGCTGAGCCAGGTCAAAACCAGGAGCTGGAAGGAGTTGCTTTTGAGTCTCCTATATGGGTGGCAGACGCCCAAGCACTTGGGCCATCTTCCACTGCTTTTATCAGACTGTTCCCAGGGAGCTGGGTCAGAGGTGGGCAGCCGAGAATGAAGCCAGCACCCTGTGGGATAGTGATGTCTCGGCGGTTTAACTCGTCGCAGCACAGTGCTGGCCCTAAAGCAGTGAATTCCTATGAGGGGACATTTGTGAAAGAATGAAGTACTGGCATCTGCTTAAACATGGATAAGCTTCAAACACAAGCCAGAGACGAGGAGCACAGCGCAGAGAACCCACGTGCTTTGATTCCAGTTAATTGAAGTTGCAAAATAAGCAAATCAAGAGGTAAAAAGTGAGTGAGTGATTTGCTGAGCCAGGAGGAAGAGAAAGTGGAAAGTGACTGCAAGTGTTTTTTTTTTGTTGTTGTTTTATAAGGTTCTGGGTGTTTCTTTTAGGTAGTGAAAATGTTCTGGAATCAAATGCTATGATGGTTGCTCAATGTGGTGAATAAACCAGAAACCGCTGAATCATGTGTTTTAAAAGATTGGCTTTTATAGTGTGTGAATTGTAGCTCAGTAAAGCTGTCTGAGTCTGAAAAATTCATTTCATCTTTTCATCCTAAGATGCTTGTATCAGTGCACACCTGTGTGTTGGCTGTCATCCTTTCTAAAGATTTAGTTATTTGAAAGCAATGCAGAGGAAGAGACGGAGAGAGAAAGGTCTTACACTTGCTGGTTCAGTCCTCAAGTGGTCACTATGACCAGAGCTGGGTCAGACTGAAGCCAGGAACCTCATCTGGGTCTCCCATGTGGGGGCAGGGTTCCCAGCACTTGGGCCATGTTCGCTGCCTTTCCCAGCCTGCTAGGGAGATGGGGCACAAATGGAGCAGATGGGATGCAGACCAACACCCAAAGGGATGCTGGTGTCGCAGGCAGCTTTACCAGCTCTGCCATGATGCTGGACCTTGCTGGGCTCTCTTCTCGGGGCGCTCTTCACAGGCAAAGTGTCAGCCCTCCTGTGGAGGTTGTGTATGGTGGGTATGGTGGGTGTGGTTCTTACCTACTCTTCACGAATGACTAGGTGGATACATGGACCAGATTGGTAATTTGCTTTTCGTGGCCCAGCTGACACATGGTGGGACCAGGCAGATGTCTCCAGAATAGCCTTGTTTCTTGGAGACCTGTGTGTGTCAAATTTTCTAGAGGAGTTGGCTCTGTGGTGTGGTGAGCTAGCTTTCTACCTGTGGCACCAACATCCCCTTTGGGCTCCGGTTCAGGTCCTAGCTGTTCCACTTCTGATCCAGTTTCCTGTTTGTAGCACCAGGGTATGATCTACACTCCTGACCTGGGCAGTGCTACCTGGCCACACTGTCTCCCATGGGGTGGGTTTTCATGCTGGTAGGTTGGTAGATGAAATCCTTGCCCACTCCTAAGATGTGATCATTGTTGAATGACTCATTTCTCTGGTGGTTTCTATGTGTTAACCAAATAGGATGTTTAGTGTGACTACAGAGTTGTTATCAGCCCCACTGAGGGGGTTCCTACATCCACATGAGCATCCTAGGTTGAGTTCTAGGCCCCTGGCTTTGGCTCCTTGACCCCAGCTCAGGGGTGTTGCAGATATTTGACGAGTGATCGAGTGGATTGAAACTCTAGCTCTAAAAAGTGATAATAAAAAAGAAGAATTTGTAGCCCCAGCAAAATGACCCTCTTTCCTAACTTCAGACCTGACCCATTCAAAAAGGGGCACTTCAGGTCCCGTTTTATCCCCCATCGAACCAGGTAGGAGTCAGAAAGCTAAGTTATTCCATGCAGATTGCAGGTGGTGAGCTTGCGAATCATCAGCCAGCCCTGTCTGTGTGCCTCTGCCTTTAGAAATTGGGGAACCCAACATCACCAAGCGTCACTTAGCCACTTAAACCTTGATCCTCACAACCTCTTTTTAAAATCAAGTGCTGCTGGCTTCTCTGGGAAGAATGCCTAATACTGCAATAGAAACAAAGGCCGGCTGAGGAAGAGGCCACAGACGGAAATCTTGGACCCCAGGAAGGAGGTGATGGTGGCACTAGGCCATGCAGGGATGGCCCAGTGTGCCGTGCCGAGTCACCCTGACTCGCTGGCAGGCAGAATGTGCTCCTTAAACCTCAGAGGCTAGTCACGGAATGAGCATGAGAGAAAATGTTCCCGTGGAACCTACACAGATTTTTCAGCTGATGTGCTTATGGAGGTTTATATTGTGTTTGCACTAACACAACAGTCTTGTTTAGGGAAGCTAAACCTGCCAGGCATGGTTAAATCATCGCCAAGTTTCTATGAGTGTTCTGTGGTGGGTGTTTATTTAGGCCAGGTTTTGTCCCCACCAAATCGGGGTTCTCTGTTTTCCATTTCTGGCTGGAGCTGGCGGATGGGGTTGCACGGCACGATGCAGGCAGGACCTCTGCGTTTTCTGACCTCTGCCAGCATGGCACTCAGGAGCAGAATGGCAGCAAATGTGCTGTGGGCAGGAGGGGCAGGAGGGACTGAAATCGTGAGGCAGACAGGTACAGGAAGGCTGAGGGCCAGGGCTGCGTGGGGCCAGGGCTGCGTGGGGCCCGGCGGGGGCAGGGGCCACCTCCAAGAGGGTCTGGCTGGGTGACCAGGGCGGGGGACAGCATGCTGGCATTCAGAGGTGAGCCTTGTCCCACGATGATCCCAAGCCCTCTGACATGTCACCTGCCCTGTATTCCCTTTTGCAGAGGCTGTGTGGCTTTCTGGGTCACCCAGCTACGAAAGTGTGGAACCACAGAGAGGGCCTCAGTAGCGTGACTCTGTAGTCCAGACCCAAACCACGCTTCTCTGTAGTCATATGACTTGGTGTCGTATGATCTGGGTGTCACTTTTTCACCTTTTGTTTTAGAAATGCTTTTATTTATGTATGTATCTTTATTTCAAAGGGAGAGCAGCAGAGAGAGCAAGATAGCAAGATCTTGCTTCCACAGGTTTGCTTTCCAACTGCCCTGAAAAGCCAGGCCAAGCCGGGAGCTCCAGGACGCCTGCTGCCTCCCAGAAAGTGTATTCATAGGAATCAGAAGCATTTTATTTTTTTTAAATTTATTTTTATTAGAAAGGTAGCATTACAGAGAGACAGACAGAGAATGCGAGAGAGGTTTTCCATCTACTGGTTCTTTCCCCCAAACGACTGACTATCGAAGCTGAGCCAGTTTGGACCGGCGTGATAGCATAGCAGTTAGGGTCTTTGCCTGGAACATGCCAGGATCCCATATGGGTGCTGGATCTAATCCTGGCAGCCCTACTTCCCATCCAGCTTCCTGCTTATGGCCTGGGAAAGCAGTCAAGGATGGCCAAAGCTTTGGGACCCTGCAACTGCGTGGGAGACTGAGAAGAATTCCTGTCTCCTGGCTTCGGATCAGTGCAGCTCCAGCCGTTGCGGTCACTTGGGGAGTAAATCAGCGGAAGAAGATCTTCCTGTCTGTCTCTCCTTCTGTCTGTATATCTGCCTTTCCAATTAAAAAATAAATACATCTTTTTTAAAAAAAAAAAACAAACAAAAAAAGCTGAGCCAGTTTGAAGCCAAGAGCCAGGAGCTTCCTCTGCTGCTCTCCCAGGTCATCAACGGGAAACTGGGTCAGAAGTAGAACAGCCAGGACATGAACCGGCGCCCATATGGGGTACTAGTGCCACAGGTAGAGGATTAGCGTGTTATGCCAAGTCCTGGCCCCACTTTTTGTTTTAA